TGTGGTCAGATTCAGCCCTGACTACACCCCAGCGCCTATGAGCTGGCCGCGGCTGCAGCGTACCTCGGCGGCCTTCGGCCGTTACCCGCTTGGCGGCAACACTGGCGCTTGGGCCAGCGTGTCCTCTTCCATCGTTGCTTCCTGGCCTGTGACTGGTTCCGGAGACGGTGGCTGACGCACCGGCAACACCACGGGCAGCGGTGTGGATCGTGGAGTGAGAGCTCTGTAGGTCCCTGCCTTTCCTCTGCCCCTGTCCCAGCCGGCCCCGCGTACGGCGGTGGTACGGACCTCGCGCTGAGTGGTTCAGCCTTCAGCGTGTCGCTTCGGTTCTACCTGTCATCTTCGGCTAGGTTGGCTGCGCGGGCTGGCGCCGACAGGGCGACTCCCCGTTGCATACCACTGCGGTCTGCGTCACCTCGGTGTGGCTGGCGCCTAGGTGCGTTCGCCTTAATGCGGAGCACTCTGCTCAGTGCATGTGCGCACCTCGCATTCTTTGCGATTTATTACTGCTGGTGCGTTGCCTGTTGTAGCTAATTCGCCTCACCTGCTGGCCCAGACGACGCCTACCGCTCCCTGTCCGCTGCCTCGAAGCCGCCGACCAACAAAAAAAATCCACCAGCGTTTTTCCGCTTTTCCGCTTTTCCGCTGCCCAGTCGTGGCCCGGCTAGAGCTTGGACGCCTTTTGACCCGCTTCACGAGGCAGTTGACCAAAAAGTAGCTCCACCAGCTCATCTCAAAACGATGCCCAGGCGAGTTACCCTGATCTGATCAGGGATGTAGCGGAGCATGCAGTGGAACAAAGTGCTGGGGAAGCTGTCATACCATAAGAGTGAGGTTAAGGAGGGAGGAGCGAGAATGATAATAAATAGGCTGATGATGATGATAATGATGATGATGTTGACGATTGTGATGATGATGGTGATGATGACGATGACAATGGCGATAGCGATGACGATGACGATGGACACGATGATGATGATGCTGGCGGTGATGAAGATGCTGATGATGTTGATGACTGATACGATTGTTGTTATGATGATGATGATGATCATGGTGATGGTGATGCTGGTGATTATGATGATGATGGTGCTGGTCATGGTAATGGTGATGGTAATGATGGTGGAGATGATGGTGACGATGACGCTGATGATGATGATGTTGACGATGATGTTGACGATGACGATGACGACGATGCTGACGATGATGATGACGATGCTACGATTATGATAGTGATGCTGCTGATGATGAGGGGGATGAGGATGAGGATGATGAGGAGGATGATGATGAGGATGAGGATGAGGATGAGGGTGAGGATGAGGGTGAGGATGATGATACCGATTGGTGATGACGATGGTGATGATGGTGATGATGATTATGACGATGGCGATGACGATGACGATGGAGACGATGATGATGATGTTGTTTATGATGCCGATGGTTATGTTGATGATCATTATCATGAATAATGACAATGATGGTGCTGCTGCTGCTGTTGATGACGACGGTGATGATGATGCCGATGGTAATAATGACGATGATGATGATGGTGGTGATGATGATGGTGGTGGTGAGGATGGTGATGGTGATGATGGTGGTGGTGGTGATGATGATGCTGATGATGATGGTGAGCATGATGATGATGTTGATGATGATGATTATGATGATGGTGATGATGATGATGCTGATGATGATGAAAATGATCATGATCATGATCATGATGATGATGATGATGGTGGTGATGATGATGATGATGATGCTCATGATCATGATGATGATGATGATGATGATGATGCTGATGCTGATGCTGATGCTGATGATGATGATGATGATGATGATGATGATGATGATGATGATGATGATGATGATGATGATGATGATGATGATGATGACGGTGGTGGTGGTGGTAGTGGTGGTGGTGGTGATGATGTTGTTGTTGGTGGTGGTGGTGGTGGTGAGGAGGAGGAGGAGGAGGAGGAGGAGGAGGAGGAGGAGGAGGAGGAGCAGAAGGGCCAGAGGCTTCTTGGAGGCCTCTTGGGCCTGGAGCGTCTTGGGGGACTCTTGGCGGTCCCAGGGGCCCCTTCGGGCGTCTTGGGTGCCTCTAGGGGGCCTCTTGGGGCCTCCTGGGGTCCGCATGTTGGCCTCTTGGGGTTGCCTTGGGGGTGCCTTGGGGGGCCGCTTAGGCGCCTCTTAGGGTCCTCTTGGGGCCATCTTGGTGGCCTTGGAGGCCTTCTTGGGAACATCTTGGAGGATATCGAGCAAAGAGGGGGGCCTTCAATTAGCCTCGCCTCTGGAGCTCCCAAAGTCGCCTCTTGGGGCCCTCTCGGAGCGCTCTTGGGGCCGTCTTGGGGCCATCTTGGGTCTCGTTTGGGGCCCTCGTGGGCCATGTTAGAGCCATCTTGAGGCCTCGGGAGCCCATCGGAAGCGAAATTGCGAACGCTAGAGTCATTGATTTCTTTAGGTTGTTGCATGATTATGGCATCTTGGGGGCCTCCTTGGGAGTCTCCATGGCCACTTGGAGCCATCTTGGGGTCATCACGGGGCCTCTTGGAGGCATCTTGGATGCCATCTTGAGCCAAGTTGGGACCATATTGCGCCATCTTGGACGCCATCTGAAAGCATCATGGGCCATCTTGGAGCCCTCTTGGGCCAACAGCTTCCCAGAGATGCCCCCGAAAATCCAAAATCCTTCAGCACCCTTTTGTTTTTCAAGGAGGGGGGGACTTAAGTAGGGTTTCCCCACTAGAGCTCCCAGGTCGTCTCTTGGGACCCTCTTGGGGCGCTCTTGGGTTTCTTGGGGCCGCCTTGAGGCCATTTCGGGCCCCTCTTTGGGCCCTCATGGGCCCTCTCGGAGCCATCTTGAGGGCTCAGGAGCCCATCGGAAGCGAAACGGCGAGAAGGCCAAACTCATGGATTTTCCTTGGGGTATTGAAGGGCTTTGGCCTCTTGGGGGCCTCCTTGGGAGGCTCCGAGACCACTTGGACTAGTCTTGGACTGGTCTTGGGGTCTCTTGGAGCATGCTGGAAGCCATCTTGAGAGATCTTGCGTTATCTTGGGTCATCTTGGAGGTCATCTTGACGGTCATCTTGGGCTCCAGGAAGCCATCTTAGAGTCATCTTGAGCCTAAACCGCCCTCTGATACCTCGCCTTCCCACCCCGCCAGGTCCAGGGGTAGGGAATAGGGGAAGGTAAACCCTCCCCGAAAGGGAAGAAAGGGGGCTGGAAGAGGAACCGCTCTAAACCACTCACGCCCTAAACCCTAAAGCGCTGAAGGATTTCTAGTCTGGCGCGAACGGGCGCGCCACGAGGCCCAGGCGCATGGCGCATGGCGCAGCGCCTCGCGCTACCCGTCCGCGTACGACTTGTGTACACCGTGCCGTGCTGGCACCCAACAAGGCGTCGTCGATCCTGGACCCACTGTGCCGCGCTGGAGCAGGGTCTGAAGGGAATCCAGACGTGGTGCGGTGCTGTGGGCGCCGTCCTCGCACCCCAGGCGCCTTGCGCCACCAGGGCGTTTCGCGCGCCGCCTGCCTGGGCTGGCGGTGCCAGCAGCAGCGCGGCAGCGGTGGCAGCGCCTTGGGGCCCAGTCGCTGTGCCTGGCCTGCTGCTGGCCAGCCACTGCCAGAGCTCGGGCGCCCAGCAGCCGCGGCGGCGGCAGGCCCCCCGGGCACGACCCCCTCGGGAGGCCTCGCGGGCCCGCGCGGCGCACTGCCAGCAAAGAGAGGCGCAGGGCCCCGGCTGCCCTGACGCGGAGCCGCCGCGGATGGCGCCGCGGGGCCCGCCGGAGCCCCATGCCGCGCGGGCGGCCGCGGCGGCCGCCGCCGCTGCGCCGCCGCCCTCGCTGCGCGCGCCTGCGCCGCCTGCGCCCTGGAGCCATCCGGCGCGGGCCCTCGGCAGGGCGACGACGACGACGACGAAGACGACGACGACGACGTGCGTTGGGCCCTCGGCACGGCCAGCCCGCGGCACGGCGGCTGGCGCAGCCCGCCCGCCCGCGCGCCCGCGGCGGCGGCGTGGCCCGCGAGGCGGTGCGCGGCACGCGTGCCCAGCGCGGTCTTCTGGAGAACCCTCCGCTCGGGGGCCGCCGCGGCGCCCAGGTGCGCCCAGCTCTTCTTCTCTCACGCTGCTCGGTATCGCTTAACCGATCCCCATCCTCATCTCCATCCCCTTCGGGACCCCCACAGATTGCCACCTCAGTTGGGGATACACCCCTTGAGACCCGAAGAGAACGACCTACATCCCCGTCTAGGGGGGTGAATCGGCAGGTGGGGCCCAGGCCACGCCGCTGGGGATGGGGATCGGGTAAACAATACTCGGCTGCGCAGTTCAAGACACCTTGCAGCGAGTGCGACGCGTTTCCGGCTTCGGGGGCACTGGGCCCCTTCGTCAGGCACGGGGCCCAAAGGGCTGCCGCGCGGCGCGCGCACACCTCACGCGCGTGCGCGCAGAGGCAAAATGCGAATGCGGCTGGTGGCACAGCTGGCAGCCCACGGATCAGCGAGGAGCTGCACACTGCCCACAGTCCAGCCCCTGTGTAAGAAACAACGTGTCTCTGGTAGGGTTTTTGGGTTCTTGCGACATCTAAGAGAGCACAACTTTCCCCAGGGCTCCCGGATCTGAGAGTTTCTGTTTCAAGAGTCGAATTTGCCCTCCCCGTCTGGAAGCACTTGGCCCTGTGTCAGGCACGTCCATAGTTTAGCGGCTTTGGGCCATGCGAAGGCTGAGCAGGAGCCGACCAGCCAATCTTGCGAAATTCGACCGTTGAGAGCTTGGCTTCTCAGAAGACGTTGTATCTCTCCCTGGCTGTCCATGCGGCAGTGCGCATGCGGCATGCCACAGACGAATGCCATGTGGTAATCTTGATCTGTCATGATGTTAGGCAGCACGTTGCTGGAGACGTGCGCTCTACAATCTCAGAAGATGTTCAAGGTTTCGGCGACCCACAAGAGTCTAGTGGCGAAGCGCTCCTTGGCACGAGTATCGCGTCAGTGCGTCCAGCCCAGGAGTCGGAACGCATGAGCCTTCTGGAGACCGAGACCGAGTGGAACCCGAATTACTCCAAGGCGAGCGCGTTCCATCGGGATGTGTTTGGCGGAGGAAGATGTGAAGGAATGGGAAATTCCCGCAAGGAGTCGTCGTTAACTTCTAGAACTGCACAATGATTCACTCCATTGAGATCGGCCGTCCTTTAACTCCCCCCAGTCAGCAGACTGAGAGCGCACCTCGTTTGCTTACTAGCTACCCTTCCACTGCTTTGCGCATTCCGCTGGCCCACACGGTATCATTGTTGGCATGTGCTTGCAGGCTTGTGGAGGCTCAGGGAGGCTTGTGGTGGCGGTAGATTTCCTGAGCTGTTGCGTGAACCTCGCCTGCCATCTATTGATATCCTCTTGAGATGTATTGGGCCTCTCCTGGGGCGTCCGCAGGGGGCTTTGGAGGCCTATTGGAGCCTGTTGGGTCTCAGACCATATTCTACCGCCTCGGGGCTCTCTCGGGGCTTCTATCCTGGGGGCACCGGAGCCATCTTGGACCTTGTCACACCTTGACGCAAGCTCTTGGATTGCCCTGGAGCTATTTTGCTGTGCCTCGGGATTGATGTTGCTTGGGGGGCATCTTGGGGCCGCCCTGGGGCCCTCGTGGAGCTGTCTTGGGCCCCTACTCGGTTGCTCGCGGGGGTTTTCGGGGGGGGGGGGCTCTTGGAGCCCTCCCTGGCCCCACTGGAGCCAAGACAGCCGCCATCATTCAGAAACGCCAGGTGTTTGAATGATCCTGGGGGCTGCCTTGGGTAGGTATTAGACCTGCTTGGGGACCATCTTGTGGCTTGCCACCCCATGGCGCACGCTATTGAACCGCCCTGGGGCCCTCATGGGCCCTCTTGGAGCTGCCTTGAGCCTCTACTGGGGCGCTCGCGGTGGTGTTTTGAAGGCCTTTCGGAGCCTTCCTTCGTTCCGCTTGGAGCCATATTGGGCGATATTCGAGCCACCTTGAGGCCTCAGGATTCCAAAGGAAACGAGAAAACGAGCAAGCCATATCGTTTGAAAACGCGTGCTGTGTTGTGAAAGACGTTGGCCTCCTGGAGGCATTTTTGGGGGCTGTCTTGGACCACATTAGGCCAGCTCGGGGCTATCCTGTGGCGTCCTGGCACTGTCTTGGGTAGATGTTGTGCTTGTCTTGGTGCCACCTTGAGGCCTGCCACCCCCATTCCCGTTCTTGAACCGCCCTGGCTCTATTTGAGGTGTCGTGGACCGCTACTGTGGCGCTCGCGGGGGTGTTTTGGAGGCCTCTTGGAGCCGTGCCTGGCCCCACTTGGAGCCATTTTCTTGGGCTATCTTCGCGCCATATCGAGGCCTCAAGATCCCGCAGGAAGCGGAAAGGCGAGTCAGTCAATTGGATTGCATTGTGTGTTTCCGCTCAATATGTTACATGCGTGCGTGCTTATGTCATCACGTGCGCATGCTGTTGTCATTGCATGCTCTTCCGAATACGTACCGTAGGTTTCCATACTGCCACCTGCATTTCGTTTCTGCCGAAGGTTTCAGTCAAAACCATGTCCCTACGATCATAGATGAGGGGCCCTGTCAAATTTCTGATCCTTGAATCGGCAGTTCTGCGCCGTGCCGCCGTCACATGTGTTTTTCAGTGGGATTCGGCCAGGGTGTAACGTTTGCAAGACTTCGTTGGAGCATCCTCTCTTATGGCCAGGCCAAACCAAGATGTTGCTAGTGCCGCCTCAGTGCTGCACTCCCCCTGCAGCGGGAAGCGACGACGGCAGGGCTGCCGTGATTGCGCGCCTCGTCTCGTTCCTGGTAGGCTCTGCCCCCCCTTTCTTCTCCTCTTCCTGCCTCCCCCTCCTCCCCCCTGTTCTAGTTGAGCTTGTTTTTTTCAAGGGAGCCCTGGACTTCGGCGGGTCACCCCGCAGTCGTCGTTGAAATCTGATCCTGGCCGTCGTGTGGCCGCCCCTGGGCTGCGAACAGGTAGAAGCGAGCAGAGTCGGGTACGATGACCTGGCCCAAACAAAACAACAAGCGAGCACATGCGGACAAGATGGTATGGGAGGTTCCCATGAGTTGCCACCGGACAGGGCGTGAGAATTGTGCGTGCCCCCCACTCCTCAAAAAACTCCCTGGACGCAAAACGTATGAGTTTTCCTTTGGTTTTTGATATTTTTTGGGGGGTCCGCTTTTTCGGCTTGCCGATGTCCCAACCCAGCCCCAGAAGCACCACCTGCCCGCTTCAAGACGGCTTCAGGGGCCCCCATGAAGCCCCCACAGGTGCCCGCACAGCCCGAGAGGCCCCAAAGCCGCCCCCAGACACTTCCAGAACAGCCCAACAAGGCGCCGAGCGGCCCCCGAGTCGCCAGACAATCATGCCCAGACGCACGCGTTCGCATGCAGATGACCCACCGCGTTGCCAAGGCGTTCCACGAAGATTTCCAGACGGCCCAGACCGCCACCCAGACGCTCTAAGAGGGTTCCCAGACGGCCCCCCAAGAGGGCACCAGGTCGCAATACTCTTTGGTTCTCAAAACGCTTTTCGGAGCTCCCGCCTTTTCAGTTCACAAGGTAGACCACAACCCACGACAAATGAACAAACTCAAGACCGATCCGAGCCTCTGGATCGCAAAAAATGGGCCCACGTCGTCGTCGTCGTCGCCGTCGTCGTGGGCCGCGGAAGTTCCGCAACTCTCGCCAGAAGGAAAGGGTTTTTGCTTGAAAGGGGTCCTCAGGTTTTTGATGTTTCTAGCTTCCTGGAGCCCTCCCAGAGGGTCAGGCAGAATCCGAAAGACCTCCAACCTTGACGTTCGAACCTCGACCCCACTCCCCCTTTCCAGGCGTGCGACGGCTTCGGATCGAGGGTGGGGGAGGAGGAGGAGACGGGGGGGAATGAGGAAGAACAGGAGCAGGCGGAGGACGGGCAAGATGAGGAGAAGGAGGGGCGCAAGTCGTACCAAAAACGTGCTGGGCATCGATGATTTGTGCCTTTCGGGTGCTTCCCCTTGAGCCGTTTTGGGAGCCTCTTGTGCCGTCTTGTGGCCATCTTGAGGCCATCTGGTGATGCCCTTGGCCCTTCTTGGTCGTAGTGGGTGTCTCTTCGGGGTCTCTTGGGGCTTTGGTGAGCCCCTGGTCGCGCGGGGCCATCTGGGACCGTTGTGGGTTCGCCCAGGGCGCTCGAGACACAACCTCCCCGGTCGGGAACCTGGTTTAATCAGGTTATTTTCTATGCGTAATTGAGCTGACTGTACTATTGCCCTCGTCGAAATCAACCTCAAAGCGGATTATGTGCGAAATATTTGTTTGAGCTTGTTCTCCAGCGTTGGTCATCGTGGAATTTCCGAGTCGCATCGGCCCATATGGCGTTTCGGGCTGCTCCGACATTGAAGTGAGCGCGATTAAAGGGGCGAAAGGAAGCGACATTGGAGGAGCGCGTCAACAACTTTTGATATTCATTTTGTCGAAGGTTGCAGCGTGGCTGAATAAGAATGAATGTTTGACGGGTTTGGGCCTCCCGGGGCATCCTCCGGCACCTCGAGGCGTCGTGTGGCGGTCTCGAGGTCTTTTGGAAGCAGACGATGCGTGCACAGCCTGGGCCCTAGCGCCACCTTGGAGGCCTCTCTGTGGCCATCTTGGACGCCCCACTGCATTGGAAAACCACGGTCCAGACCCCTGGGTGTGGTATGGGGAAGGGCTGCATTCTCGAGCTGGACGAATCGGGCTGGAAGAGGATCCACTGAACCACCTACGCCCAGAGGGCTGGTGGGAGAAGCGTCCAGGCTCGAACCATGTTTTGTTGCAGACACGCAGTATAGACGCAGATCTGGACTGGATTTCTGCTCCAGCGCAGAAAGGTAGTCCGCTGCACAAGATTCCAAAGGCCTCGTCAAGCAGTCTGAAGGTAGGGGGGCGCCGTGTCTTGGCTGGAGGACTCGTTGCGTGTGCTTGCAATTCACGGCGGGGGCCGGATGAGCCTGCCGTCGGCATCACGTGTGGAAGCGCCTCGTGAAGGGCGGCGGCAGATATTACATGGCGCTCCCAGCTCGACGGCATATCCTTCCTTCTGCTGTGCGCTGCTATGGCGGCACCTTGTTGTTATTGCGCCTGCCTGGTGATCAAGCACGAGGGCGTATACAGTTTAGGGAATGTGTGCTGCTGGTGCTGTGACTCCATGTGCAACCGGAGCGCTTCCTTCTGGTGGCTGCTCGCCCAGTACCTGTTCATAGCAGCGCTCGCTGGCAGGGTCTTGTTTCGCATGGGCGCGGCAGATAATCTCAGAAGCTACGTTGGGTACGGGTTTATCGCATACATTGTCGTAGGTCGCGGGGACATTCAAAATGTTCGTTGTTGACCCTGCTTTCTATCCCTACATCCTCATCGTCGTTGCGTTGGCCGCATGTCTCTCTGACCCTTCGACCACACTTCATTTTGCAAGTCCACCACCTTTGATTATACCGTCTTGCGATCTAAACTCAAGGTTGTAACGATCATCCTTTGGCCTCCCTCTCGTGGGTGCGCCGCTGAGTCTGCAGGGTGCAGCACTTGATGCTACCTTCGAACTCGCCCCAGTCGCATAGTCGGAGAGGGAGGAGGAGAGGGGAAGCAGGATGGAGAGGATTAGGAGAAGTATGAGGAGGAGAAGGAGAAAGGGGAGGAAGGGGGAGGGGGAGGGGGGATGGCGATAGAGAGAGAGAGAGAGAGAGAGAGAGTCGAAGATGCCTACGGCGAACCACCGCCGCCCCCCGCTTTTGGAAACGCCCAAGCGGCCAAACGTTGGGCCTTAACGTCTGGCCAAGCTATTGGAAGCTGAGCGCGCGCACACTGCTTGCCCCGAACCCCCACTTCTTCCATCATAATCATCATCATCAGCATCATCATTATCATCATCATCATCATCATCATCATCATCATCATCATCATCATCATCATTATCATCATCATCATCATCATCATCATCATCATCATCATCATCATCATCGCATCATCATCATCATCATCATCATCATCATCTTTATCATTATCATCATCACCATCATCATCCGCATCAGCATCAGCATCATCGTCATCGTTATCATCATTGTCATCATCATGTTCACCACCATCATCATCATGGCCACTATCATCATCACCATCATCATCATCGTCATCAGCATCCTCGTCATTACCCCAATCATCATCATGATCATCATGACCATCATCATCCTCATCACCATCATCATCATAATGAGCATAATCGTCATCATCATCATCAGCCGCATCATCAACAGCAGCTTCATCACCACCACCATCATCAGCAGCATTATCATCATAAGCATCATCATTCTGGTCGTCGTCACTATCATTTTTCTCCTTGTTATAACCATCATTCTCATCACCATCATCATCATAATCACCATCGCCATCACCAGCATCATCACCACCACCATCAGAATCATCATCACACTCGTCAACGCCATCATCAACAGCATCAGCATCATTATCATGATCATCACCATCATCAGCATCATCAGCAGCAGCATTATCACCACCACCATCATCATCATCAGCAGCAGCAGTATCATCATAATTATCATCTTCGTCGTCGTCACTATCATATTCCCCCTCATCATAACCATCATCCTCATCGCCATCATCATCGTAACCACCATCGCCATCACCATCATCATCATCACCACCACCATCATCAGCATACTCGTCAGCATCATCATCAGCAGCATAAGCATCATTATCATGATCATCACTATCATCATATTCATCATACTCATCAGCATCATTAGCATTATCAGCCTTATCAGCATCAGCAGCATCGTCAGCATCATCATCAGCAGCATCATCAGCATGATCATGATCATGATCATCATCACCATCATCATCATCATCATCATCATCATCTTCACCATCACCATCGTCATCATCAGCGTCGTACTCATTAGCAGCATCAGCGTCATCAGCATCATCGTCAGCATCATCCTCATCATCATCAGCAACATCATCATTATCATCGTCACCAGCTTCATCATCATCATCATCATAATCATTATCATCATCATCACCATGAACATCACCATCATCATCATCATCATCATCACCATCATCATCATCGTCAGCATCATCATCATCGTCAGCATCATCATCGTCATCGTCATCATCATCATCATCATCCGCATCATCAGCATCAGCATCAGCATCAGCATCGTCATCATCGTCATCGTCAACATCATCGTCATCATCATCATCATCATCACAATCACCATCATCATGGCCACCATCATCATCATCATCATCGTCATCATCGTCCTCATCATCATCATCATCGCAATCAGCACCATCGTCATCATCAGCATCATCATCATCAGCATCATCATCATGATCATCACCATCATCATCATCATCATCACCATCATCACCATCATCATCGTCGTACTCATTAGCACCATCAGCGAAGTCAGCATCATCAGCATCATCGTCAGCATCATCATCATCATCATCATCATCATCATCATCACCAACATCATCATCAGCAGCATCATCATCAGCGTCATCATCGTCACCAGCATCACCATCATCATCATCATCACCATCATCATCACTATCATCACCATCATCATCACCATCATCATCACCATCACCATCATCATCACCATCATCATCACCATCATCATCATCATCAGCAGCAGCAGCAGCAGCCTTGCCGCGAACCCCCACTTGTCCCACGGCCCACAGCCCTGCCCTCGACCGCCCGCGACCTCTGCCCTCCGAGCGCTCTAGTCACTCGGACCCCCTTGCCGCGGGCCCGGAGTGCTCAGGCCGTCGAGGACCCCGGCGAGCGTCGCTGGCCATCGGGATGATCTCATTTTGAAGTCGGCTGGGGTTTGAGGTGGCCCAGCACTGGCTTCGAAGTTCTGGGTTCGAGTCCGGCGACCGTTTTCGAGCCCCAGGACCGTCAAAACCGGATCGCGGGTGCAAAGCTGCAGCAGATGGACCCCGGGTCCGGGGGCCGATTTTGAGCGGATTTGCCTTTATTCCCCCGACTTGACCGCTATCCTCGGGGTCCATCTCGGACGGGGCTAGGACGAGGACAAATCGGTTTCAGAGCGTTCCGGAGCGCTCTCAGAGCGTTCCGGAAGGCTCTGACCAGGCCACGGCGCCCGAGGCATCCTCCAGAGCCGCCGAAACCCGGAGATTCTCGATTGGTCTTTACCCGACCTTAGTTATCCTCGTCCTGGCTTCGTCTTCTTCCCCGGGGCCCATCCAGCTCAGAGCCCCTGGCCGCCTCCTTCTCTTCCTCCTCATCCTCCTCCTCGATCCTCTGCCCGGGAGGAGGAGGAGGAGAAGGAGGAGGAGGAGTGGGAGGAGGAGGAGGAGGAGGAGGAGGAGGAGGAGGAGGAGGAGGAGGAGGAGGCGGAGGAAGGGGAGGAGGAGGAGGAGGAGGAGGAGGAGGAGGAGGAGGAGGAGGGGGCCTCGGGCGCGGAGAGTCCACACCACACCACGAAGAGTGCGACGGCGGCCTCAGGCACCGAAGCTGGCCTACTGCTGAAACAGTCTCATCGCGCACGCGCCTTTGCGAAGCAATGTCGGAGGCCCTGCCACGAGGCCCGCTCTGCCCGCTGCCTGCGGCGGCGCCGCGCGTGCAGTGCCGCCAGCAGAGGATGCCCGCACGGCCGTTCCTCGTCCGGCTCCCCCAGACAGGGCCGCTCTCAAGCTTGTCCAGGGAGCTCGCAAGCTGGCTACTACGCGGGGCAACCTAGCGGGGGAGGGCGGGTGAGGAGAAAGAGGAGGAGGAGGAGGAGGAGGAGGAGGAGGAGGAGGATGCAAGGTGAGAGTGAGGAGGAGGAGGAGGAGGCGGAGGAGGAGGAGAGACAAGGAGAGTGAGGAGTGGAGGAGGAGGAGGAGGAGGGGGAGGAGGAGGAGGAGGAGGAGGAGGAGGAGGAGGAGGAGGAGGTGGAGGCGGAGGAGGAGGAGGACGAGGAAGAAGAAGAAGGCGAGGAGGAAGAGGAGGAGGAGGAGGAGGAGGAGGCCGCCGCATGTAAGGACGATGCTCTACCCCAGGTATCGTTTACATTTGCGTGTACGAGATGCACGTCACACTTCGAAGGGCCATTCATGATACGGAGAAGATGGTCACGAACACCCTTGCCCCTTGGAGGCCTCCAGACTCTTGCTCGCAAGCATTTTCCATTCCACAGCATCCGGCCTTTTCCTGACAGATGGTCGAGTCACAGCGAGGGGCCCCTGCTTACTCGAAGTCGAATTTGCGAAAGCTCTCGCAGACGCCATGTGCTTCCCCGAGGCGGAAATGTCCGCCCTACCTTTTTCACATTTTTTGGAGTGCCTTTGCGACGCAGTTTTGAATCGGGAGATTAACCAAAGTACGGTGGAGGGAAACAATTAGTGAACACCCCCCTGCCCCCCAAACTCGAAGTTGGCACGCGCGGGGGAGACTACGGTCGAGGTGCAACTCATCAGACCCACCGCCAACTTTGAACGTTGGGGGGAGGGGGAGGCGTTGACAGATGAATTTGGCGTGAGTGATCGCTATTTTTTTCCGAGGCCTGTACGGCGGATTCGGAGTCAGGGAGCACCAGGAAGCTGGGAACTCTCGTGGACAGATTCGCGTTTGGAACATCCAGAGGCCACGTGTTGGATGCACACCGCGGAAGCCCACCCTGCACGGCCATACCAGGCCCGAGCGTTGAAAGACCTCCACTTCGAGTCGCTCGCCCGCTGCGCGCTTGGCTGCGTCGACGAGAGCAGACGGCGCTGTTGGTGTGTCTCCTTCGCTGCGGCCTGGGGGAGGGGGGAGCCCAGCCGCGAGGTGCAGTCGTGGGGGCCCAGGGTGTGGGGGGGGAATCTTGCGGGGAGAAAGGGGGGGGGGGGGAATCTCGGCCCTAGGGAAATCAGGAGGGAAAAACAGGCACAGACACACCTGCACGTCGATCCCCTTGCGAACATCGGAGAAATGTGTGGAAACGGAGGGGAGGACGGAACATATGGACACCTGTGGAGAGCCCTGGAAGTTGCGTCCATTTATTTGTGCCTCCTTGGGCCCCTTCAGAAACGAGCGAAGCCCAGGAAAGCGAGGAGCGCGGGCTCCAGAAGCAGCAGCGAGAGACCCAGGCCTCCGATGCCCTTAGGTCCCCAGAGCTGGCCCTGGGTCGCTTCTGCGGGGTCGTTTCGTTGACGGTCCCGGGGCCCTGCGAGGGCCTCCAGAGGGGTCTTGCTTTCAGCTCAGGAGACCCGGAGAGGGCTCGAGCCCCAGGGCGCGAAAACCCCATGGAGACGAGGCAGGCGCGGAGCCTGGGGCTCAGACGCGGCTCGCCACTGGAAGCGGGAGATTTGCAGTTGCTGGCGAGCGACGGGACGTTCCAGGCGAAGCGGGAGGAGGAGGAGGAGGAGGAGGAGGAGGAGGAGGAGGGCGAGGAAACGTTTCAGGCTCTGACCTTGAGCCAGCGCAGCGTCAAACAGGAGGAGGAGGAGGAGCAGGAGGAGGAGGAGGAGGAGCAGGAGCAGGAGGAGGAGGAGGAGGAGGAGGACGAGGACGAGGAGATTCCCATTCTTGTTCCTGGCTGGCAGTACCTCGAAGCTCAGCGGTGGCGCTGGCCTGGACTGGTGCAGAACTGAAGTGCATAATACAAAATTCGACGCCAGCGGTGGGCTTGTGATGTGGCCAGAGATACGTCGGCGCTCTAAAAGTTACATCGGCTCTGCGAAGCAAGGCTCCGTGCGGATGCAGCACGGCCGCATGACTGCAAGGTCGGTACAATAAGGAAGTCGTACACAAGCCTCTTGGAGCTGGGTAGATACCACGTTCTGGCGCGAACGCGGCGCGCGTTTCGGACCACAGGGGGCAGAAAAAAGGATCAGCCGAGAAAGTGTTTTTGCGAGAAATCTCTAGCGTGAGGCTCATTGTCGGGTCCGTCGGACAGGAGCCGAAAGCATATTTTTCACAAGTCCCACGCAGGTGGGCCACTTCTGGGCTGGCCGGTAAGCCTTTCGGGCCGTCCTGGGAGCGAGCCCGGTATTGTAAGTCTTCCGGGGGAGGTCCTATGCGGTTTGATCCTGCTCCAGTTCAGAGGGCGAGGCTTAAGATTTTAGGTCTGGGATTTGGGATTTGGGATCTGGGAGAGAGGCCGCTAGTTGGGATTGAAAATTTGATATTGCGAACGAGAGCCCTCTGCAGGCCCAAGGGGCGGGGGGGGTGCGCTCGCATTGTGCCGGGCCCTCGCGGCCCCAGCGGGACGAGGCACAGGCCCATTGCTCCAGCCCCCGCCGCCCCTCCCCCCTCTCTCCCCGCGCGGCTCCCGCCGGCTATATCTTCGTTCGATCGCGCTGGCTGAGGCGGTGACGAGATTCGGCCACGCGCAGAGGGGGGTAGGGGGAGGGGGGAAGGCTTCTTAGAAGCAGCCTCCTTCTAAGAAGCTTCCCCCCTCCCCCCACCCCCCTCTGCGAGCCGCCAAGAAATGCGCAGCGGCAAAATCGTGGAATCTCTCGGATCCGCGCCGCAAGATAACAGATCGTTGTTGCAGTCCGGGCGTGTCTCCCTGATTTCGGCCTCCGGCGCCCGTCGTCGGGCCCCGGGTCAGCCCCAAACGGATCCGGGGGGAACCAGACCCCGAGGAGAGTGCTCGGGAGCTCCGCGTGCAGAAGATGTATCCTACAGGAGGATGTCTGGGAAAGCATGAATGCGTTTGCTGGGGCCCTTCACTCCTATCCTCTTCTGTGGGGGTTTTGGTTCTGGTATGTGTGCTGCTGTAGTTCATTCAGGAGGGGCAAAAGCACAGATACAAGTAATCGACGATCCCCATGCAGGGAAGTGGAGGCGACGAGAATTTCCAGAAAATATGAAAAAATTGGGATTCTGGGGTTCGTGTCTGCTCATTTGTGTGCACCTGGGCCCCCTCCCTTCTCGGATGCTCGATCGAGCAGAGGTCTCGTGGGGCACACCCTGGCCCCAGTGCGCAGCATGGCTTCTCTTGTGCCGGGGTGGTGGGCGAGTGGTCGGCGGCAAGCGAGGGGGGCGGAGCATTTTGCAGTTCTACAGGTCGGCGGCCACAATCGGCGGCGGGCGACGGGGGGGGGGGAACTTCGAGGTTCGAACTTCGAGGTTCTGGGTTTTCGGGCGTTTTCATCGGTCCTCGGCGGGCTTCTAGCCTCGGGATGCTTGCCAGCGACTGCGCCTCGCCGAGAGCGTTCCGGGGATGCCGGGATCGTCCCGAACGGCCGCTGGAGACTTGAGTTATGACCCCCAAACCACATTCGGCGGCGCGCCTGGAGGGAAAGTGAGAAGGAGAAGGCCTCCTCTGAAGGCGGCGGGGCTTCTCAGAAGCCCTCGCGCCTTCTGAGAAGTTTTCTGCGTCTTCGGGGAAGGCTTACAGAATGTCTCAGAAGTCCGGGGGACTTCCGAGCCTTCTGAGAAGGCCTTCTCCTTCTCACTTCCCCCCCCGGGCTCGCCGCCGATTCCTGAAGGTCTGATGGAGCGGGGTGACGGGAGCCGAAATTGTGCTTCGACCCCGACCGATTTAAGGGCCTTCCGGTCGGGCTGTCGTGCCGCACAACAGTGACGCCCTGGCTGCGCTCATCCTGCAGATTGCCCGTCATCGCTCAGCATTGTCCATCCGCTGGTCAGCCGCTGCACCATGAGGTCCTCATCCGAAACCTCTTTCCAAGCATCGGTATTTTGACACTTCCCTCTGGGAAATCGAATCGATGTCGCTTGCCGTGGGGGCATCGTGCCTTTCTTCACGCGGCTCGTCTCGCTTTGTCTTTGCAGCCTTTCGTCTTAAGGTTTGTGTAAGAGTTCCGGATGCAGACGCGTGCAATTCGACGTTCGCTGTTCGCTCCCCTGTCTCGCACCGCGGCGCAGCCTTACTGGTGGAGTGCAGTGGTTGCAGATGTTGCCATCATGTTTGTTGCGGTGACTGCGAAGATCCCCCGAGGCAATGGGACGACGCAGGGCACGAGTCTCCGACGAAGCTAGGGATCCCGACCAACCTCGGGTTCCGGATTCCGGGCGTCCAGCAGAGCGGCTGGCCAGCGTCGTGCCCCACCCCCGCTTTCTCCTCTAGTGGGGAGGAGGAAAGAGGAACATGAGCAGCGAGGGAGCAGGCAGGGGAGCAGGACGCGGAGGGAGGCGGGCGGGAGGGGTAACCCCAGGAAGCTTTTAAGACCCCCCCCTTCCGGTAAAACGATAACGCTTCGGCACCCTGGAAGCGTTACCTCGGCACCAGGAGGGCCTCCAGACGGCACTCGGGGCCTTGCAAAGCTCTGCTAAGCACTGCTGAGCCCTGCTAAGCTCTATTAAGCACTGCTGAGCCATTCACGGACTCTGGCACCACTAGCGCGACTCCAATAGGGAGCAACTTAGGGGTTTCCTGGCCGCGCTGTCGTTGGTTCACTTTCGGCAGAGGGGACTAACGGGTCGGGCGGCCGCGCCGTCGTCAGAATTCCCAACCCCTCCTCCTTTTCAGGTCTTCTTTGGTGTTCCTCCGGTGGCGGTCGTCAGTTTTTGTGACCCTCTCTTAGTGGTGAGGGGGGCTTTTGCGTCAGTTTGCGACCCCCCTTTCATTTTTTTCTGGTGGGTCCACGTCGTCGGTTCTGACGGTTCTTGGGTTTGAGATGAATGATCCCCCCGTGATGGGATGATGAGGAGGAGGAGGAAGAGGAGGAGGAGGAGGGGGAGTTGGAGGGGGAGGCGCGGGAAGGCGGAGGGCGCACGCGAAATTCAGGGAGGAGGAGGAGGAGGAGGAGGAGGACCAGTGCAAACCCAAGACCATCAACGATGTTGCAATAAACCCTCCCTGCAAGTTCCCTCTTCATAAGCTCCTACAAGGACTTTCTGTCACTGCGGAAAGAGCCACGTTGGAAGACAACCGTTTGAAAATCTTCAACCGTGCCAAGGCACCATTGTGGGGACTTCGATGCCGCGAATCAACGTTACTGTTTCGACCTGGCGATCCTAGATCGTGCCAGAATTTGTTCTGGCACGCCAACACCGCGAATCAACGTGACTGTCGCGCCCTGACAATCCTAGATCGTGCCAGAACACAATTTCCCGTCGCGCCCTGACAATCCGAAATCGTGCCAGAGCACCAGTTCCTGGACGACAGCCACCAGAATATGCTGCAATGCTGCAAATCGTTCAAAGGAATGTGCACGGCTCTGAGGCGAGAGCCACATTCTGAAAAGGAGTTGCCCTCCATCCATGAAGCCCTTCCAAACTTGAAAGACGAATGTGCGCGGCGCTGAAGCGAGAGCCACGCTTTGACAATGGCCCGCCCTCAATCCGTGAAGTTCTCGCAAATGGTTAGAGCGAGTGTTCGCGGCGCTGAGGCGAGAGCACATTTTGAAAACGGCCTACCCTTTTTATTCCTTTAGCCATTGAAGTTCTTCCAACTGCTTAAGACGAGTGTGCGCGGCGCTAAGGCCAGAGCCGCATTTCGACCCCCCCGCCCTCCATGTCTGAAGCTGTTGCAGCTGCTCAGCTTTAGGGTCACAAGATGTAAGATGCTCTCAGGCGAAACGCCCAGCACGCCACTCCGACTGGCACGCCACTCCGACTGGCCTTGGGTTGCGACAGGGAGTTCTTCGGTAGAGGAGAAGGAGGAGGAGGAGGAGGAGGAGGAGGAGGAGGGAGTGGGAGGGGAAGGGGGAAGGGGAGGAAGGAGGGGGAGAGATGAGGAGGGAGGGCACACTCTTGAGTCGAATGCACGCGGCGCCAAGGCGAGATCCACTGTTTGAAAAGGAGCAGCCTTCTATCCGTGCTATTGCTGCGTTTGTTTAAGACGCATGTGCGCGGCGCTAAGGCGAGAGCCACAGTTTGAAAAGGAGCCGCCGCTCCCCATTCTTCAAATTGCTGCAAACTTTTGAGGCGAATGTGCGTGGCGCTAAGGCGATAACAACAGTATGACAATTGCCACTAATCCATCCGCGAAGCTGCCGCCAATGTTTAAGATGCATATGCGCGGCGCTCAGGCGAAAGCCAAATTTTGAAAACTGCCTGCCCTTCAGTCGCAACACTGTCGTACACTGCCACCTTCAGGGTCACAACTGGCGAGGGAGTCTCGGGCGAAACGCCCGGCCCGCCTTACTGACGCACATGGGGGCGCGACAGCAGGAGGAGGAGGAGGAGAAGGAGGAGGGGGAGGAGGATGAGGGAGCAGGGAGGAGGAGGGAGGAGGGAGGAGGATTTGGATTGCGCTCTGATTCGCCGAGGAGACGGTCAGCTTAGTGCGGCACTCACTAGCTGCTGCAACAGTGCGTACATGCAGCACGGGCGCCAAGGTTTGGTGAATCTCCCCGCCCCCGTCCTGACCTACCACCCCCCCCACTTCATCGTTTGAAGGCGCTCAGGGCGCATCACAACGCCGCAGGAGGAGGGAGGAGGCAAGAGGAGGCATATCAAAGAGGGGAGCAGGTGAGATGGCCTGCGAAGGGCCGAACGCCAGCTTAGTGGGCTGGCGCAAAGCAGGGGCCTGCGGGAGTGCACGATATTCGCACGCTCGACCTGCGGCCCGTGCTTGCACCAACGCCGCAGTGCAACCCTCGTGGACGGAGGAGGGAGGAGGGAGGAGGGAGGAGGGAGGAGGGAGGAGGGAGGAGGAGGAGGAGGAGGGAGGAGGAGGAGGAGGAGGAGGAGGAGGAGGAGGAGGAGGAGGAGGAGGAGGAGGACGAGGAGGAGGAGGAGGAGGAGGAGGAGGAGGAGGAGGAGGAGGTAGGGGGAGGCTGGTGATCCGCACCACGCTTTTCTGCAAGTTTATCACAACCGGAAGCGACCTGTCTCTGCAGGGGGCCGAGTTGGACTCGATTTTCGTGACCGTATAGTTTTCGCTTTGGGATCGTTGCAGAAGATTTTCAGTGCATTTTTGGAGATGCGTTTCTTTCGTTTTGGTGATTTCTTCTTGGTCCAACACGCTGGGATACCAATCGGAGGACCTCTTAGCCCAGCTATATTGGATTCAGTTTTGTCGAAGCAAGAGCATAATTTCGACATGGAGTATCCTCTTCGTGCACGGCTCTTCTTTGCCACTCGGTACGTTGACGATTTGCTGCTTGGGTCTCGACGGTTATGCCGGTCATGTCTCTTGCGCGTCATACCCGTTGTTTATGGTGACGTGATCTCCTTCGACGCGGACGACTCTTGGCATGTGCATGGCGGAGTTGTGATACAACCATTCCTGGATGGTGTGATCCATTTTGCTTGGGACGGTCTCAGTGTTGCTTTTGAGCATCGTAACATGGAGTTTGCCTTTACTGCGAACTGGGACACCATCAAGAAGCGATCGCTCCAGCCAGCACCCGGTCTCGTGTCTAAGGATGATCTTCAATACCAACGCGGCGAACTCATAGGAAGACTTCGGCGCTGGCGTGCGATCAGTGACTGCATGGTGTCTTTTGTTACCGCAGTATATTGCGACATTCTATGTTTTCAGCACCACGGGTACGATAGCAAACACATCCAGGCATTGTTCACGAACTTGCCGCTGCACGCAGATCTGTTGGCAGTGATCGACATTGTCTGGAAATTAGCTTACGTGCATCGCCGGCTCAGCCCCCAATCGCAAGGTCAGATGTTTGCTCAAGTGTTATCGCTTGGATTGCCTACTGAGTCCTGGCCTGGCCTTCCGATGGCATACCAGAGTGGCGTGAGGCAAAATGCGCCTGCTGAATCCGAGGCCGCCCAGCTAGCTTGGGCATCTCTTCTTCTGGTCACGTCGGAGACCAAATTCACTGCAGCAGGGCTCCACGTCGCACAGATGTGTTTCTTGATGCAACAGTTGTGAAGTATGATGCGCACGTGTGCTTCGTTGTTGTCGCTCTGTCCCGCCCTTTCTTGGGATGGCTTCTCTTCGAATCCTTGTAGCAGTGAGTAGCATTTACAATGAATTGTCATAGCAGTGATCGGGATGCGATTGTTCATGTAATCCGTAGCTCCATATTCCGGTTCAGGGGTCCACTGAGTGGCCGCTGGCATGCCCCAGGACGCGCTCAAGTAGCACAGCGGGCGTCACCCCTGATAAAAAGAGCTTTGCTCCGAGGCCCTGGGAGGCAGGTAATTTGTCAATTATTTGCTGAACAGTTTCATTTAGCAAGGGGGAGGAGGAGGAGGAGGAGGAGGAGGATGAGGAGGAGGGAGTGAATCTGGACGCAGGAGACGCGGCCCGCAGGTCCGCTCCCCGCGGGTGAGTGGCCCCGCGCCCCGCGCGCGCTTTGGGGGGCTCCCGGCCGCGCGCGACACTCGAGGGCTGAAGGGAGCGGCGCGGCTCGCAGTCGCCCTGCGCCCTGGTCGCCTCCGCCGTCGCCGTCGCCCGTCTCCTAGATGAATCTTGGGTTTGCATTGGTCCTCCTCCTCCTCCTCCTTTTCCTCCTCCTTTCTTCCTCCTCGTCGTTCTCCTCGTCGTTCTCCTCTTCCTCCTCCCTCTCCTCCTCCTCCTCCTCCTCCTCCTCCTCCTCCTCTTCTTCCGCTGCAGCTGGACTGGGGCAGAGCGCAACCGATTTCTCTCTCGCCCCGCGTCCGCTCGCGCTGTCGCTCGGCCTCCTTTTCACGTTGATCGGACCTGAAGAGCAAGTTTGTGGCGTCAGTTGTGGAAAAGATAGCGGCAGGCATGTGCCCTGCAACAGTGCGGAAGAAAGGAAGGCGCCTCGCGGCTGTGGAAGAATGGAAAAGTACATAACCCATAATCGATTGCAGGCGCAGGTGAAGCAAGAACCCTCCTCTTCCTCCTCCTCCTCCTCCTCCTCCTCCTCCTCCTCCTCCTCCTCCTCCTCCTCCTCTCTCATCACCAGCCCCCATCCCACCATGTTTAGTCAAGGTTGGCAGTACAGAGCCAAACATATGCAGAATGACAGCGAGGCTAGCACAGACTGGACTGGCTGGCCTGAGGCAGTGCAGGCGCGTGCGGCAATTCTTGGGCTGCTACCCAGGGCTGTTCGGTTCACCCCGAAACTCCTCGGCCCCAGGACCCGCGTGTTGTTCGCGGTTTTTTCTCGTGTTTAGCACGAACGAACCCTTTGTGGCAAGTAGCGGGCAACCATGCAGTAGTCTTGCCATGTCAATGGCTGGCCTATGGATTATACATGATGCTAGTCTCCTCCACCACCACATCATCCCACATACCCCTGATGATGTACATCTGAGGACGCTCTCGACACGCTCCGACTGGCGGCGGAGTCTGGGTGGGCCCGCCCGGCCACGGGCGGTCGATCTCACTGTCGACATGCCGGCAAGCTGCAGCGTCCGGTGGGACCCAACGAGGCCGACCAGGACAACATTGCAATAGACCAGGGCTGACCGACCCGTGGCCTCCGGCCACGACCAGCGCGCCGGCGGCTGCTCGACGGACCTCCAGCGGACACGCGGACACATTGCGTTGCGACTCGTGACCTGCGGGCTCCCACTCACGCATCTCTACAGCACGCATCCGTATCTCCTCCAATATCCTCCTCCTACCCCCCACGACAGGTGGCAGGAAGAAACGGCCTCCCAGACATGCAATCACCTGAGAGATGCCGACCTCATAGCGTCTCGGGCGCCGCTGCGCTCGAGCATACACCACGATATCGAGGTGATCGGCCCATTGCAGGTTGCAGAGGGAGCATCGAGCGCTTTCAATGAAGCCTTCTATTATTCCACCACTACCTCCTCAACTCCTCCTCTCGTTTCCTCTTCCACGTCCACGCACGCCCCTACTCGTCCCACAGGAGACGGAGAAGGAGGGGAGAGGAACGAATCAAGGTCAGAGGATATGGACGTTGATGGTGTGTGTTGCATGGAGGTAGTGAAAACAGAGTAGACGCGATACTGGCGAGCTGTATGTTGACGTTTCGGTGCTCCATTGTTGAGCCTAGGTTACTGGCGTCATTATCATAGCAATCTTGAAATCAAGGTCGGACTCGACCGCGCATAATTCCTGAATGTAATGCTGTACAGGGATTCCGTTCGCACTCAGAGACAACATGAGCGTATCTTAGACGCGCCCAATGGCAAACACATCTACGTACCCATACCCAGCGGCGGCCATGAATAATGCGTCACAGGCATTGGAAGGAATCTGGCCGTGCGTGGCACCGCGCTCGACTCTATTCGTATCCGTGTTCTCCAAATCTGGACACGTTCGCTAAGTATGCGGCTGTCGTGAATGAGACCCATGAATTCGTCGTGTACGTCGACATCGGGATCGGCATACCCTTGAACTCGCTCCACTGTGTCGCCACCAAGTGTGCCATTGTATTCTGAGCTCGACATTCGGTCTTCCCGATCATCGTGGTGTACGGCTTTGGCGTTGTGGGTTTCCGAGGATGTCGACGACAGCACCTCGGAGCCTCCACTTTCCCTTGAAACGTCATTCGGTGCCGAACCAGATGTTTCCATTTTGCTTGCTTGTTGTCCGACTTCTGCGTTGTGAGTTCCCGAGGATGTCGGAGACAGTGCCTCGGGGCCTCCACCTTCCCATTCATATGTAATCGTTCCCGACGGGTCTGGGCATTCGGCTGCACGTGTCGCTCTGTCAATTGAATGGTCAATTGTGTCATCGACTCGCGGGGTATATAATGGCGGAGGCGGAGGAAGCCCCGTAGAGATAGTACGTAGCTTTAGTGGAAGAGGAAATTGCAAAATTCGAAAGCTGGCACGTGGGGCACGCATTTTGGCGTGCACTTTGTAAGGTCTGAGCGACGTTCAGCATTCGATTTCTGCGCTGGTTTCGTGCACGTGGCTGCTGTCTCCATGCTGCGCCACAGAAGCGGCACGTCTCCTACTGCAATCGTTGTCAAGACTCGTGCAGCGTAGCTCAACCTTCTCATAGTCTTTGTTTGGCGAAGAGTGTAAGGCGAATGATGGGAGGTACCACTACGGCGAGAGCGCGAAGAAACTCGAGAGGTATGCAAAGCATGTGAGGTGTAAGGCCTCGGTAAAACCAGTGAAGTTTCGCGGGTCAAGAGCACGGGCGCTTCCGCTGCGAAGGGGCGCCGTGTCTGGCGGCAGGCCGCGCGCCGCAGTGAGGACCTGCTCCTCCATTGCGGAGCTCGGGCCCGCAGCTCCTGTTCCTCCTCCTCCTCCTCCTCCTCCTCCTCCTCCTCTGCACTCCCGCCCGCCTCGTCCTGGTGCTCCCTGAGAAGCAGGCTCTGCCCGCTTCTGCTGCCCGCGCCAAGTCTTCGCGCGCGGGCTTGCCTGTTGCGGGTTGGTCCCAGCGTGATTCGGAGCTCGTTGGGTGCATCTCTCGTGTACCTCGTCCTTGCCTCCCCCACCTTCCTCCTCCTTTCTTCTCCCTCCTCGTCTCGCCTTCGTCGCCCGCTCCCGCACCCCTCCCGCCCCCTTCCCATCCAGGCCTTCCCCTTCTCCTCCTCGTCCTCCTCGTCCTGTTCCTGCTCCTGCTCCTGCTCCTCCTCTTTCTCCTCCTCCTCTTTCTCCTCCTCCTCCTCCTCCTCCATCGCTCTGTTCATCTTCCTTGTCGTCGCCGTCACTGTCGCCGTTGCCGTTGCCGTTGCCGTCGGCGTTGCCGTCATCGTTGTCCTTCGTCATCAGTATGGCATCTGCCTCATCCTGACCCGTCTCACCATCATATCATCGGTGCCGCCCTGCGGGATCACGGCTTCGATCTTCCAGCCGATATTGTGCGTTGGGCTAGCCAGCACAATTTAGATTCCAAGCGTTCGCGGCCTGGAACTACACACGAGGGTTCCGACGCTTTCATGCGCTCGCTGGCATCTACATCATTGCTGATGGCCGCACCAGGGAAAACATCCGAGACAAATCGTATTCCGCCCGAAGCGTTGTTGCCGAATCGTCTGGTGTTCTCTCCAGCAGGAAATCCGCTGCCAAGCAGAGGTGTCCACTGCTACTTGGCTAGCTGCCGCATGGGCCTACAATCATGAGGCTGCCCGAAGGCTGTGAGTAGTCCAAACCGTATCTATGATCGTGTACCCCCGTCTTCCCCACTATTGCGATGACGCCGTTGAGCATGGTCTTCGCCGACAGAGACGCAATTCGAGGCACATGAACATTGAGGATGCGTTTTCTGATTTGGACGCGTTCGCTGCTGATGGAAACTTGTCCTGAGTGGCTCCCATGCCAGGTCTTCACATGAAGCTGTGAGGGCCGTGTGGATCTGACAGTGCACACAGTGTCGGATAGGCAGGGTCGTGGCCGCTTTTCGCCATGGCCTTGTGAAGCTCAGACGGCTTCTTTTCGGGAAGAGGGGGGGCCGGTCCAGTCCAATCATGGCCTATCCCCCCTCCCTCAGGGGAGGCGCACCCCAAGCCTTACAAAAGAGAGCTCGCGTCCGCCCGTGTATCTATATCCCGCCAGTTGGCTTCACCGACCGCCCCGTCGGCCAGAGGAAGGAAGAGAGAGGAAGAGAGAGAAAGAGACAGGGAGAGGCAGAGAGCGAACAGGAGGGTGGAGAGAGCAGTAAGCAGAGGAGAGATGAGAGAGCAGGGGCAGAGAGGCGAAGCGGGCACTGGAGGCAGCGGGGGGGGGGCGGGGGAACAGTGTGCAATAGAGCAGGATCAGGACGAAAGACGAGCAAGAGGAGGAGGAGGAGGAGGGAGGAGGAGGAGGAGGAGGAGGAGGAGCAGGGCGATGACGACGGCCAGCGTGGCAGCCATGACCAGGCAGCGTCTGGAGCGGGTCCCCACCGCCGCCGCCGCCCCGGCAGGACTCACCGGCGTGAACGACGGAGGGCAGTGCGCCGGCTACGAGGAAAGGGCCTGGGGCGGGCACTCTGGTGGCGGGCTCTCCTCCTCCTCCTCCTCCTCCTTCTCCTCCTCCTCCTCCTCCTCCTCTCATCATCATCATCGTCATCATCATCATCATCATCATCATCATCATCATCATCATCATCATCATCATCATCATCATCATCATCATCATCATCATCATCATCATTCATCCTCGTCCTCCTCATCCTCATCCTAATCCTCCCTCCTCCTCTCCCTCCTCTCCCTCCTCCTCCTCCTCCTCTCCCTCCTCCTCCCTCCTCCTCCTCCTCTTCCTCCTCCTCCTCCTCCTCTTCCTCCTCCTCCTGCTCCTCCTCCCCCACCTCCTCCTCCTCCTGCTCCTCCTGCTCCCTCTCCGTAGCCATTTTGGCTCAAGCTGCCGCGGGCTCCCGAGGGGGGGGGGTCGTCCCGCCGCGCGATTCGCAGCAGCGCAGCAGCGGGGAGCTCATGGGATGGTGGGAGCCTGGCGCATCCGAGGCGCGCTGGGTCCACTCGGAGGAGGCGCAGGCGGCGCCGTGGCGGGCTCGCCGACAGCCCGTCACGCCTCCCTGTCGGCGCGGAGTGGTGGCGGAGGCGGTTGGTGCGGCAGTGCAGGCCGCGGTCGAGGTGGCGCTGGCCAATCTGCAGGTGCAGGTGCTGGCACCCTGCAAGGCAAGGCCGACATCGCGCCCCAGGCCGACCGCGACGCCACAGCTGGCGATCTGCAACGTGCCGCCCAGTCCGCCAC